TCTACAATACAGCTCCAGCCAGAGGGAGAGAAGTGGTCCCGTAAGCCTCATGTGGCCTCATCACGGGAAACCTGCCATTTCCACGTAACTGCTGGAAACCGTGACTGGTGCAAGGGCTCCCACGCTGCCCCGAGGACCCCCTCGCCTCTCACTGCCAACCTGTTCAACGGTGCCCGAGTCTGCAGCTGAGTGGGTCTGTGTGTGGAGTTGTCCTACAGTGGTCAGCTGCTGGGAGGCAGAGCAGAAAGCATACTGGCCAGCAGGGGACCGCTTGTCACTCCCAGGCTCCACTTCTGGCCAGCATCCAAGCTCCGTTTGTAGCTTCTGTTAGGTCCTAGCACAGCAAGGAAAGCGGGGCTGACCACCGCCATGACAACCATCTTGGGGTTGAAAAATGGCTAGCAGGCTCCAACCACGGTCACCACCAGGTCCTGCAGCCTGTGCGGGATGTGCCATCAGAAGGGTCTGAGCAGGGCCAAATGACTGGCCATGTCCTGAGTCAGGTGGCCCAGGTCCTTCTAATGAAAGGACTCTTGGAACCAACTGACCAGTGGTCCTGGGACTCTGATGTGGAGAGAGAGCCCAGATGAGGATGGCCAGAGCCGGCCTAACCATGCCCAGGAAATTCAGCATTATTCAGCCAGTGCAAGTGGACCACAGACATTCAATTAAAATTCAGCCTCTGACCTCTTGTATACTCCTGGATAGAGCTGGAACGCATTCTACTAAGTGAAGTATCCCAAGAATGGAAAGACAAGCACCACATGTACTCACCATCAAATTGGTATTAACCGATCAACACATAAATGCACATATAAGAATAACATCTATTGGATGTTGGGCAGGGGGGGAGGGGGGAGGAAGGAGGAGGGGACGGGTATTTGCATACACAAAGAGTGCAATGCGCACCACTCGAAGGATGGACATATTTGAAACTCGGACTTGGGGCGGGGGCAAGGGCAACATACATAACCTAAACATCTGTACCCCCATAATATGCTGAAATAAAAAATAAAATAAAATAAAATTCAGCCTCTGAGCTAGCAGAAGGTATGCATTTTACCACTGTGGCCTTTTAAATTAAGACAGTGGTGTTTTAGGTATGGCGGGTATCTGGGGTATACACCATTGGGTTCTGGGATATGGTATTCACGGGCATAATGGGGTTCCTAGTAAAACCATGGCCAGCATAGTTTTGTATTTCCATCGGTCCCTCCTAGCCCTTGGCTGGGAGTGGACCATGAGTTTTTAAGACATTGATGTCCTTCGATTATACTATGTTTCTTTTGTTCTAGCGGAGTCAGTTAAAAAATAAATAAATACATATGCTTCAATTCCCCTCTCCTCGCCCAAGTCTTCAGTAAAATTGGCCAAACTCAAAAGGCTTGTGTCAGCTTTCACTAATAGAGTAAGAGATCCGAGTCTGTCCAACTAAGGAAGGGGATGGGGGGTCAGCAGTCACAGGAGGCGACATTCAGAACCCAGATCAAGGTTCCAACAGATGCAGGAGAATGGAGATAACAGCGACCCCACGAAGGGTCCCTGCCTCGTGATTTGAGGGCCAGGCTGGTGGGACTGTGCCATCCGTGGTTCACAGGCTATGGGCTCAGTCACTCTATTCGGTATCAAGACACCACGAAGAACCCCAAAGGACTACAGGACTAGGAGACACCCAAGGGGCAGATACTCGACTTACATTATTCTTTTCTTTCTGTTATTGTTGTTTTTATTAAATTTTTAAAATAAGAAATAATGGGTCAGATTGATTTATAGTTAGAATGAAATGTAAACATGAATATATAAATTCATGAGGAAAAACATGGTTCACATGGTTCATGGCCACTGGATATTTGCCAATGCTGATGAGGTTGCTCAGGGCACTCCTGAGGGCACCGTCAACTGCCGTCACCCTGTCCACAAGCAACGCGCCCTTACCTTGACCCAGAAACCCTGCCCCAGGAAACTTATCCAAGAGAAATGATCCTATGATCCATAGAAAATGTGTCCTTCATGTATAACAATGTTATTAATAATGATAAGAATGGAAAGAACCTTAATGCCCAACATAAAGAAATAGTTGAATAAACTATGTGTCCAACTGATGAACTACTATGCAATAAAACCATTAAATAGGAAGGCCATACAGCAACTTTTAAAATGTTGGGCTTTAATGTTAAGTGGAAACAAAACTGTAATTTTAGTTATGTAAAGCTATTGCATTGTGTATGCCTAAGGATAAGAAAAGACCACAAACGTAGCAGATGAATTGGGATAATGGAATTTTAGGTGATTTTTAAATTTTTCCCTTTTGTTACATGTTGTTTGTACAATAAATAAAATCAAAAGAAAGAATAAGTAATATTAAAATAGTTGTAATAATATGCTTCTATTTAAATTATTTTTTCCAAAAACAGTAGAATTTTAACTATCTATAAAGCTAGGTATTAAGTATGATGGATACTATTCATCCATTATACTATTGTTTTTAAATTTTTTCACTGTTTGAATGCATAATAAAATGATTTTTAAAGGAACTATAATCACAAAATATAATAAAATGAAGGGTTTTTTTAAAGTAAATATACAAACAGACAAGCATCCTTCATCTTATAGATAGTGTCTGGTTCTTACACACTAAATAAACATTTATTTGAGACCTTTTATTCATTCAGTTAGTTTGGTTATCCCACAGCATCCCATTTCCATAGTGGGGAAAAAAAAAAAAGAATTTGCAGATCATCACTGGAGAATGGGGGAAAGCTGTGAAAAACAGGTCAGTTCAAAGACATTCACCCAGAGGGGCCTGGCCTCAATATTTCCACTGCAATAGCATTAAGAGATGTAAGCGTATTCACATTTCATGCCCCTGGAGTTCTATTCTAACCCAATTGTGCAAGCCAGAAACCTAGAGTCACCCCTGAGTCTCCCCTCCCCAGAGCCCACAGTTTGCGTCCCACAGATGTCCGATGCCACCGTCTCTGCCACCTCCAGCACTATGGCCAAATAAGAAAGCAGCTCTGACTTAGGAGTGCCAGGCACTGTGGCCAGCACATTACATGCATTTAATCATTTAGTCTTTGCAAACAATCTCATTTCATAGGGAGGAAAACCAAGTTAGGAAACTGCCTGAATAAGTAAACCAGTAAGGGGCAGAGCTGCGACGTGAACCCAGACAGGCATCTTCAAGGTCAACTAACAAACCACTTGTGTTGTTTTTACTGTGCTGCCGTTATAAGCAGTGCTGTCATGAATAACCTTGTACAAATATCACTCATTTGTGCAGGGACATCTCTAGGATATATCCCCAGAAGTGGGTTCATTAAATATTTGATTACATATTTTGTTGCTTTTCTCTGAACAGACTACAGCTCCCCGAGGGCAGGGCACATATTTCGCTTGCTCGTCCACTACTTGCACATAGCAGAGGTGCAGTGATTACTTTATTCCTTCCTTCCTTTACTCATTCGACAAGATTTATTGAACGTCTATCGTACGCCAGGCACTGCTCTGTGTATAGGGAATACACTGGTGAACGAATTTGGAAAAGTGCCCAGTTCTCACGAATCTTACATGCTGATGTAGGATCCAGAGGCAATTAACAAATAAGCACATCTGTGGTGTGTTACAAGATGATAAACACTAAAGAGAAAAACAAGGCAAAGAAGCGTGGTGTGCAGGAGTTACCATTTTAAATAAGTGATCATCAAATACATAAATGAACAAAATATTTCTGATGAGGATGTTTACCTTAGCAGCTATAATACTTGTGAAACATTTTAAACAACTCAAGTGTCTAATAATGAGGGGCAGACAATCACTGAACTGTCTTGAGGTTTAAATGAGTCGATGTGCATGAAGCGAGCAGAAAGAACAGTGCCTGGGGAACCCACTTCCACTTGTAACATTCTTTCACGGGAAAATAAGCTTAGCTCTCCAAAACAGACTTCCACGGCAATGAAATACGCTGCCCATAAACAGAAGGCCACCTACACAGACACCAGAGCACTAACAACCAATGAAGAGTGTCTCACTCGTTCATTCCTGACCTTAAAACTTTTGTACAAATTTTCAACTGAGATTGTTTTGGTCCTGAAGATCACACGAAAAATAAAGCATCTCCTTTAATATTTACTTTGAGAAAGAGAGAAAGAATATTCTGGCTATAAGGATTAAGCAAAATGTAATTTAATGTCGATTACTGAATTTCTTCAAACAGAGAAATTTGCCAGAAGAAAAAAACCCCATATGTTAAGTATGGATCTTAAAATCAGAAATAATGTTTATAAATTACTGCAGATCTGCTTCTTCTGAAAATGACATTTATAGGTGGTAATGTTTGTCTAGATGCATCAGGAATAAAGGATGGTTAATCGTAACAATAAGCAATCAATTTCTATTTCATTAAAACATACACTTACAGGATATGTTTTAATGAAATATATTTAAGTATTCCCATGAGTTTGGTTTGAGCAATTCTAATTTGCTTAGGAAAATCTTGCTGGTGTAATTTGAATACAGTTCTAAAAGGACGTGAATTAACACTAAAGATATGACATTACAGAATATTACTTAGCAGATGTGTCATGCCCAGCTCTACGCACACTGTGTAGACTCAGGCTTTGAGCCAGTACCTGTGACATTCTATTTACACTTTAAATGTATCTGACTCTTTAAATGTATCTTGTCCCTTAAACCAGAGGCTTTGCTGTTCAGTTTTTATAAGAAATGCTCAAAACACAAATTATAGTTCAAATTCCACTTTTTATTTTAGAGCTTTTCTAACTTAGCCCTTTTCTGACAAGATTCTACAGCCTTGATTTCATGCTAGTTATTAGAGTTCCACTACTTTGGCCCTTAGGGCAGGTTCTGATTTAAAATAACCCAACTTCCCCAAATTCCCTGCACTGTGGACATTTTTACCTGCTGAGAGATACAAGAACCACCCTGATCTCTCTCTAGACCTCACTGGAACCCTGTGGAAAACCAAGGCAAGCACTCACCGGTTGCCTGAGTCTGCAGAGCCAATTCTTCCAGAGCAGGGCTCGGAACTGGCGCCCAGAGCGCCCCATGCCCGCCACTCCCCGTCCACGGTCAGGAAACCAGCCTGTAAGGATGATGCTTATATCTGCTGGGCTCAAGCGAAGGCACGTTGCCTATTAGTCAATTCTAACAAAAGTCAGTGATGCAAGAGAGATTACTGGTGACTGAATAAAGCAGGCATCAAATGTCCCCTCTTGTTCTGCATCTGCTGAGAAATCTTATCTTTTCACTAGCTGCTGGGTGGAAGGTCCAGAGAGGGTTGGGTTACAGGAGGCTGCCTTCGGGGCCTTTCCCAGGCATTCATACGGAGCGCACCCACCCTCTCCAAGAACCCACACAACAGATGCACGCAACGCGAAGTGATGCTCGCATTTACCATTTACCTCCCTCTTCCCTGGATGTTAACTGGATGGAATTATTCCTCCTCTCTCTTGACATAGCAGCTATCATACTAATTTGTCACAACATTTCCAGTTTGGTGATCCTATGGCAGAGAACTGGAAGAGAAAGAGGGAAGCAGTGTTTGTGTCTGGGTGGGTTGGGGATGGGTGTCTCATGTCTATTCTGCTATGGTACCCACACTTCATACTTCCCCTTCACCCATTTCCCCCCAAAAGGTCAGGATCTCTGTTTCAGAAGGCAGCAGGACTTAGCAAGGGGCCTGTGGGTTACCTCCAAGTCCTGTTTGATCCTTGCACGTGTGTATTTTGTAACTGGCACCATGGATTCAGCCAGGCGGCTGGTTGCTCCATCGTCCTGGAGGCCAGGCCCCCCAAGTTCCTGTTGCCCCCAGTTGTGGTCAGAAGGATGTCAGGCAACCCTATCTTGTGGTCTTCAATTTCATAAAGCAATTTTCACAAGCCGTGAATGTTCTATAAATGGCTTTTGCAACAGGAAACAGGGAACATAAGCTTTGGCAAAGAAATGGGTTCAATTATTCTGTAAACTTATTTTTTTAAAGGACATCAATTTTATTTTATTTAATTGTTACATAATTAGCAGCACTAGGGCGAAGGCCATTACCTGGCAGGATGGGGCCCAGCATCCATAAGTGGGTTGGCCTGACCCCTACACAATGTCCTTCCTTGGCCTGTCCCTCTCAAAGGCCTATCGGGGTCGTCTAACTATTGTCATCCTGGTTCTCTTTGCAGATGATACTTAGAACACCTTATATCATTGGTGACTGTTGTGTTTTTTTAAAAATCCAGAATAAAGAAAAGCCCCCAGCCATGGGGGTTTCCCATGCTACTTTCATAGCAGCCAGGTTTTATGTTTCTTTGCTGGTATCGTGCCAGGGGCATAGCCATTATTTCATCCATTGCTTCCGTGGAGCAGTGCTGTTAGTCAGGGTTTTCAGAGAAACAGAGCCAATAGGTGATCGACTGATTGATTACAAGGAATTGGCTCACACAGTCCTGGAGGTGGGCAAGCCCCAAGATCTGCAGGTGAGTCAGCAAGTTGGAGATAAAAAGAGCCAATGATATAGATCTTGTCCAAATCCAAAGACCTGGGAACAGGAGCCAACAGTGTAGTTTCCACGCAAAGCTCAGCAGGCTCAAGACGCAGGAGGAGCTGTGGTTTCCGTCCAAGTCTGAAGGCAGAAGGAAATGCCAGTGTCACAGTTTGAAGGCCAACAGACCGCAAGAAGTCACTTACTCAGGGGAGGGGCCTTTTTGTTCTATTCAGGTCTTCAACGGCCTTGATGAAGGCCACCCACATTATGGAGGACAATCTGCTATACTCAGCCCTCCAGTTGAAATGTTCCTCTCATACAAAAACACTCTCACAGACACTCCCAGAATAATGCCATCTTTGGGTCTGTGTTTCAATCGACCAACCAGACTATTAGAGTCCTTTCTGACTCCCTGAGCTGCAACATTAAGTACAGAATCTCTGCTTAGTGAGCCCCTATCAATGAATTTGGCCTCGTCCAAGTTTGTGTTCCTTCCACCATCGCCCCACACCCTTAGATCCATTCCCTCGCGTGTTCCCCACACATTCCTGCGTGTGTAAATTAGAAAACACAAATTGTTAGTTCGAAGTATAGCACACCTTTTCATGGGTCGTACTTTGTACCTCACCTTTGGGTGCTGCTGGGACTTGAGTCTAGTCATGGGTCTAGAATAAAGTAGGAATGGCAGGGGTGCGTCCTGAGGAAAAGCAGCCTTGTCTTCACGGCAGCTGCCCCAGGGCAGGCTGTTGCAGTTTCCTCAGGCGATGCAGGGTTCATCCCCTCAGGGGGGTGGTGAGAGGCCAGTTCCACTGGGGCTGGGGAGACCTATTCCACTGGCAAAAAAGACTGCTCAGAATTTAGGGGCTCAGTGTCCCCAGCCTCATCAGGGCCCTCCCACTCATCCCCATTCCGACTTTCAGAATCCGCCCCCCTCCCAGTCAGTGTCCTCACGGTAACAGCAGACACCCTGCAAGGCTGGGAGCTCAACTTGCACTCAGTTCAGCCAGGTGCAGGGTGATGCTCTCGGTTTGAGTTTCAGCAGTCTCAGCTGTGCAGCTACAGGAGACGAGGGTCTCTGGCAGGGCACACGCAGAGCTTTCAGGACACTATGTAACACTTCTGCTGGAATCTGACCCCTCAGCTCATCCGTTCTCCACTTTGTCCAGCAACATTAGGAACAACCAGCCAATCTCCTTATACTCATTAGCTTGTCAAAAATGTTGTGAAGTGTCAAATACACAATGACCCAGACCCTTGCTTCTTAAAAATGTTTGATTAGGAGTAACTAATCGTGATGTTTTGTGCATCTCTATTGCCAGATCATGTCATGGACTCTCAGTGTTCTCTTTGCTACTGGAAACAGAGTCGTTAGCATCTTTAAATCTAATCGGATGAGAAAGTCAATCCCGGAAAACTTATCCTTAAGATTCTCTTCCTCTAGAATCACTCTCAGTACCAGTCTGTGTTGGGGTTCTCCAGAAAAATGGACCCATATACATATTATGTTTATTCGTGTAAAGAGATTTACTCTAAGGAATTGGCGCAAGTAATTATGGAATGGGGCAAGGCCCAAGGTCTGCAGAGTGAGTCAGCAAGTTGCAGACAAGGAGAAACAACGGTGTAGCCGGTCAGAGCCTGAGAACCAACAGAGACAACAGTGCCAGCTAAAGGCCAACAGGGTCAAGATCCACAGAGAGCCAATGTTTCAGTTCGAGTCTGAAGGCAGGAAAAAAGCTGAGGTCTCCGTTCAAAGGCCATCAGGCAGGAAGAATTCTCTTACTCAGAAGAGGATCAGCCTTTTTCTTCTATGCAGGCTTTCAACTGATTGGATGAGGCCCACCCACATTGGGAGGGGGCAACCTGCTGAAGTCAGTCTGCCAATTCAAATCGAAATCTCATCCAAACACCCTCACAGGCGTACCCAGAATAATGTTTGACCAAACACCTGGGCATCCTGTGGACCAATCAAGTTGACACATAAAATTAGTCATCAGAAATGCCAAGAGTTTAGTATTCACATTACAATTGTAACAATTGGTATGGGATTACTAGCCATAGCAGTTTCCAAGATTCCAAAAAGTAAATTTTAGTTAAACATAGCATTGCCACATAACCCTGCAAGTCTACTCCTAGATATATACTCAGAAGACTCAAAAACAGGGACTCAAAGGTGTACATGTACTTAATGTTTATAGCAACACTATTCACAACAGCCAAAAGGGGGAAACAACACAGTTGTTCACCCACGAATGAATGGATAAACAAAATGGAGTCTATACAAACACTGGAATATTATTCAGTCATACAAAGGAGTAAAATACTGACACGTGCTACAACACGGATGAATCATGAAATGTTATGCTAAGTGTAGGAAGCCAGACTCAAAAGGTCACATATTGTACGACTCCATTTCCATGAAACGCCCAGAATAAACAAATGCACAGACAGAAAGAAGACTGGTGGTTACCAGGGGCTGCAGAGGAGAGAGATGGGGAGAAATTATTTAATGGGTAGGGGTGTTTTTTTGGAATGATGGAGATATTTTTGAAACTATATGGCAGTTTAGTAGCAGTGGCCGCACAACATTGTGAATGTGCCGAACGCTATTGAATCGTTCACTGCAATATGTTGATTTTATGTCATGTGAATTTCCCCTCAGTAAATTGTTTTTTAATTAAATTTTGCCACTCATCTCTTCTCAGTCATTTGGCCAAGCTCAAAATAACCCGAGGGTATGGTGCCGCTGCGTGGAATTGTCCTGTTCTTTATGGTGTCTTAGCCACTTTGTAAACTGCCACGTCATCACTCTCATGAAAATTGGACAGTAGCCACTGAAGTCTTCCTTAGAAGAGCCGGGGGAAAAGTCTCCTCGCTGACGGCTCACATGCTTATCTCACATGCTTATCACTGACTCCCCAGGTCCTGCTCACCGTGAGGATGTGCCAACGCCCTGCAGGGAGACTGTGAGTTGGGAAGCTAGCTCCTGCTCTAACCCGCTCTTTTCCCTCCCCTGGGATCCCACAGAGCCCTGCGAAAGCTATAGTTGTAAATAATAACAACAATAATAAAATAGGATAGGTTGGGGGACGGAAGGGATGCAGAGTCCATTTTAGTACGGTCAGCAAGAAAGGATCTAAGCCCCCGAGACAGCGATGGCCATGTCCCTGAGGATGGTGCGCCCTCTCTCGCAGAGCAGAGCACCTGCGGAGAGGCAGATGCTCAACAAGACACTTCCCAAGCCCCTGTGCGTCTGGGAGTGGCCAAACGGCTAACTTCACCACAGAAAGTGAAGCAAGTGTTGTTTGTGGCTTCTGAGTCCAGACTCTCAAAGTCAGGCATGTTCTCTCCTCTCTCCAGAACAGGCCCTAGGGAATGATGGCACAGAAAGATGAAATGTGCCTGGATCCTGGAAGCCCACACGTGGCAAAGCCCTCTGAGCAAAGAGCATGTGGTAGAGTCCTTGGCGAGTGTAGACAAACATCCCTGCTGAGCCAAGCTGTGTGGGCACGTATCACTTAAAGTGGCGGTGTGGCAGAGTTCTTAATGGGAGTTCTCTCTGCTCCCTGCACCCTCCAC